TTATTATTATTATCATTATCATCATCATCATCCCTGGTTTGGAGCTGAGGTCTTTCTGTGTGGAGTTTGTATGTTTTACTGGTGCTTGCGTGGATTTTCTCCAGGTGCTCCGGKTTSCCCCACACCCCCAAAAACGTGTACAATAGGTTGCCTTCAGGCCCAGGCCTCCCTTGAAAAAGAGATCTGAGATCTCAATGGGACTTGCCTGGTTAATAAACAGTAAATTATGCAGAGATCAAAAATGTAAACTGAAATATGCAGAACACAAAAAAAAAATGACACTAAACTCTTGTTTAATAACATTTTATCCAACTCCTAATAAACCCACCTCTGACGACTTCTGAGACGTTGCAGTTGGGGTCGATGCTGCCGATGTGTTTCGGATGGGCTGGGTTGGTGTCGTTACCGAACAGGAGAGCTGAACACACACACACAGAAAGAAAACGGTTACATAAAAAAAACACACACACACACACACAGACACACACAGGAGGAGGTTTGGAAAGGAAGCGACGCTCCGGTGAGACTCACTGTGCTGGTTGATGAGCATGCGGAACGAGATGCGGTTGGTGTAGAAGCGGTCGAGGAAGTACTGGATGTTGCTGCTGCTGAACGGGTCGAAGCCAAACTTCTCCTTGTACTCGATGACCCCCTGAGCCATGGTGGGAACCACGTCGTTGTGACGGTTCCGGATCTCAATCAGGAGCTCCAGAAAACTGGGGGGATTAAAAAAAACTGAGTTGTAGCCAATATTGTTTTTGTCATGTTGATCAATCAACTTTATTTATCATTTCTGATCAGACAGTAAGCTGACAGGAGAGATGGAAAAAACCAGCATCCCTGTACTCCTCCAGGCTGGCATGAGGTTAAAATTATTTCATCTCTGAAGTCCTCAGCCTCCTCCGGTCAGGATAGAGTGCCAAAATGTAAAAATGAGCCCTTTAAAACCAGCTTTGTTCCTGTTAATTCAATTTAGCATAGTTTTAATATTGATTACTTTGTTAGACTTTTATCTTGTCTTATCTTGTTTTAGTGGGTTTTATTTCATCTTATTGGGTTTTATTTTCCCTGATGTAATTTTGTCTTATCTTTTTTTTTAAGAGACTTATTATGATTTTTAGGTTAGGAGTTGTAATTATTCATATACTGAGCACCTGGTCACTTTTTAATCATGGGCCGTGGAGACAACCATGTCTGTGTTGAGTATAAAAATCCCCAGAACAAGTCTATTAGAATAGTTAGAACTCTATAAATCTCCCAATTATATGTTAAGGGCTTTTATTTTTGTTTTTTATTTGTGTTTTAAATGTTTGAAATGTGTTTTTGTGTGAATGTGTTTTATGGCTGGAGAGCCAAAGGAAAATTTCCACCTTGGTGGACAATAATGGTTTACCTATTTACTATAACTCAGCGCTTCTTGATTTTTTTTCTTTTCAAAATAAAAGTTTGTAACTTTTCACTTTACTCTTTTGTTATTTTGATAAACWGTGACTCACTTCACTGTAATCAAATCTATAAATAAAGTTGACTGATTGATCGATGTGGCAGCCATCTTGAATCAGGTTTACTCACAAAGTTAATCCGCTGTAAATCCATTTAATTAGTAAGATATTTTGCTAACAGACAGGCGATGAAAGGATGGATTAATAATGACCACATTGTTATTTAGAGAATGTCAGTGAGGGATGAGTATTTCTATCAAAGCCCAGAGAAAGCAACTATAAATCATTAAATCTTAATTCTTTAGSAGCAGGTTGAACAATTCTTGGAAGTCGGTCGTCCGCGCAGATAGACCAGTCCAAATTCCTGTCTGTGTTTATCTGACGGGGGCATTGTTTTGGGTGTAAACACAGGGTTTTCACTCACTCGTTCAGAGTGTGAGGGTCCTCCGGCTTCTTGTTCTCGAACTCCAGCAGCTCCACGAAGCTCTGCATGTACCTTAACAAGGCAACCGGGGAGGGGGTCAAAGTTGGCTTTTACACACACAAACCATAAACCCGATTTGTCTTGGCGGCGGTCCAGAGAAAAACCCTTCTTACCATTTCTGAACGAGCCTGACGGAGGGCTGACTCAGCAGGTTGTCGGGCAGGAGGTTGACTTCTCTCATGGTGTTGGCCAGCCGCACCGGCAGCTCCTTACGCAGGAACATGTAGGAGGTTTTCTCGCACGCATTCTCCCTCCCTCCAGGACACAGAAAACAACGTTTTTACATAACGAATCAACGACATGACAACGTAAAAGAATCTGAAGTGACAGACGTTTAAGAACGAACATCTCCTGCCGTAAAATGACTCAGAAATCCAACAAAACAAAGAACCAAAACTCACTAACTAAAAACCTGCTGATCTCGTCCCGTCCTCACCGTCTGCCATCGTAAACATGAACACATAATGTAAACTGGGCTCACTCAGGAGGCAAGATAAGACCAGACTAAATAGAAGTAATTATTGTTTTTCGCTGATTACGCTGTTTTTATGATCTTTTGTTGCAAAAAATAGAAACTATGAGTTCAATTAATTACATCCTACCCCACAGGTGGATCGTAAATGTTATCAGCTACAAACGTTGAAAGGTGTGAAGCTATATGAATTGCTGTTTGACAGAGTTGTAAAGTAACTAAGTACAAATACTTTGTTACTGTACTTAAAGGCACAGTGTGTAGGATTTTGTCAATTCTTTTAGCCAAAATTGAGATAATCACTAATGACAATAATAAAAAAAACATGTCTAATCATTGCAGACAAAGACCTTGTTTTATTATTTTTACCTTATAAAAAGCTGTTTATATCTCCATGGTCGCGGGTCGTGCAGCCATCTCGCACCACCATCTTGTCTACGAA